TGCCTCAGTCCTGTGCCGCACCTTCCCAGGGTGGCCCCATGCCACCAGTCTGCTTCCCCCCTGAGACTCTAGATGAGACTTTGCAATTTTTTTCTGTCTATTTGCTTCTTTTAGTTAAGCTCTGTACTCTGTACTGCAGTCAAGGTTCTTATGGATAAAGACAACAGTTTTCATGTACTGTAAACAATTTCTTTATCCTACGTAAGATTTGTGTCTTCTGAAAAAAAAACTCTGCTTAGCAAAAAGTGCTGAATATTGTGAAACTAACTCAACTAGAGAGGGAGGGGGAGGGGTTTTCCTGTATGCTGGACATATTTGTAAGATCACTATAAAAAGATGTACAGTTGCTTAGTTCTCAGATCAGCATCTTTGGAAAGTTATTTCCTGTTGAGCCCACTAGCATAATTTTATGCTTTTTTTTTTAAATAAAACTCAATTTACTTCAGTGCATGGAGTTTCTCTGTCCCATTTTTCTGCTACAAAATGGGAGATAGCATTACAGGCTATTCTTCCATATGTGAGCTCTTCACCCAGTCACAAGTGCCTGAGATAGCAGCATTTGCCAAAAAAAAAAAAAAAAAAAAAAAGTGGGAGTAATTTAAATTTGAATAAACCTGCAATACACACAAAAAAAGGATTGTCAGTTTAGAAGTTGCTAATGAGTATCTATGAGCTTTTGACACCACATGTAAATTCAGATGAAAAAGAAAAGTGTCATTACTTACAGTGAATGTTTATATTTAAAAAAATAAATTTAAAAATAAGTTGGTTCGTTAGTTTATTTACAATTTTTAGAGGTATTGTTATCCTGAAATACAATTGTGTTCCCTGATAACAAAATTAACTGCAATCATGGTTGTTTCACCCAATCTTGATGGACTCTATAGCTCAGAATGTGTTAAAGATTGACATTTCATTCACTGTATCAAGTGAATGCTTCAGCTTTCCCATTAACATTGTTGGAATGCACAGGCAACACCCTGGCCACTACAAAAGTCCATACTAAATGGTTATCATACTTCTAGAAATGTTACATAATAATGACCATGTCAGAATATTGGTACAGAATGATTATTGAGCCTCCATTTTCCAGACCTGCTGCTGATCTTTACCTGCTTATAGTACAACAATTGGAGTAAACATTTGCAGTGTTACAATGCCAGCATTTACACTTTGGTTTCAGTTATGGCAAGGATGTGAAATCTTTTCAGCTTGGGGCCCTGAATTCCAACTGGAAGAGCATCACAGGAAAGGTTGAGGACAGAGAAGGCAAGTCCAAAGCAAAGTGCCTGGAGGCAAATGTAGTTTTTACCAGTTTGGATCTTTTTCCTACCAAGCACAAAAAACACAACATAATTATTTGTATGTCTACTCTGAAGCAAATGCAACATAGCTACTGTGGTGTAGTGGTTTGAGTGCTGGACTAGGACTGTGTGGGCCAGTGTTCAAATTCCTGCTCAGATATGGAAACCCACTGGGTAGGGCCTTTGCAGACTGCCAGAAATAGTGCACATTAAATTGAGGCACTGCCCTGGCTCAGTGCTAGGGAATCATGGGAACTGTAATTTATTGTAGCACCAGAGCTCTCTGACAGAGAATGCTCAATGTCTCAGAAAAAAATACAATTCCCATGACTCCCTAGCACTGAGCCAGGGCAGTGTCTCAATTTAATGTGCACTATTTCTGGTAGTCTGCAAAGACCCTTAGTTTTTGGAATATCTCACTCTCTCAGCCTTAGGAAAAGGCAATGGCAAACATCCTCTGCATCAAGCTTGCTGTGAAGATGGGAGATGAGGAGGTTGTGCAGTTCCCAGTCACTGTTAATGCTTTGGAAAATATTTGTCTTATAGAAATACATTTTTTTTCTATGGAGAAACACATAAATAAATGAATAAACAAGAGGGGTTTTTTTCCTGTGCAGAAGCACCATACTGTGCAGAAAACCTATTTCTATGCAGAAAAATACTGGTTCATTTCTACACAGAAATGAACCAGAAAATACTGGTTCATTTCTACACAGATGAATACTCACCAAAA